TGTTTCCATTCGACTCGACTGACAACGACCTGAATGGAACTGTCTAATTAATGGCTGTAATGGGTCAGCGTGATGCGCCATTGTGGACTCAGACGGAACACAGACCGACACACCATCCCCGTCCAGCCTGGATGTTAAAAACACCCATCTATTGTGGTCCGATAAGATCAGTGCCATAGGGTGTTATTTAAGGAGGGTTGATAGATAGCTATTCGATTTGATGAACTTCCCGAAGCAGAGAGGAAAGAGTGTGGTGAGTGAATAGGCTTAATATGTTTGATGAACTGACGGATGTCCAGATAAGGAATGACCTCTAAGACTCCATTTCAACTGTCATTAGAGTGTGGGATAGATGCCGCATTTAGCCAGAATTTGGTTGCAGTATCATGTTAAGGACTGCTACATTTGAATGAACCCACAGTTAGATCAGATGTCAGGAGAACTCATATGAGGAACTTTTAGCATGAAGTTTAATCAGTTTTCACACACGCAAAATGCTTGCGTCGGATGCAGCTTAAGTTTCCTATGTCTAACTGCATAATTCTGCATGATTGCTCAATCCATCAAGAATGTTTTAGCTTCCGACGCTGAATACTTTTCTGTATTCTTCAGTTTGCTTGGCTTAACATAGGATGGGTCAACAGCTGAAAGTACACTGGAAGAATGTCTCAAGCTCTCGGAATCCAACAAATTTAATGAATCTATTTGAACATGATGTACTTCCTATTTACATGAAATCCATCTGATAGACGTATATTTACACCAATAAAGTAGTGCAATATAATACTAGATAATACACCAGTATGACAACATTATGAGAATACAGTGTCATTATTGCTTTAGAACGACCTGTGTGCAATCGGCAATTTGGATTGCCTGCAACGTTGTACCCAGCATAGATGCGTTATCAGCTTCGTCAGCTTCACCAGTGTCATCAGAGACTCCACAATTAACCCAAATTAGTGATTACTCGAAAGTTGTTCTTGTGCTACAAAATGGCAACTGGTCAAAATTCCATCCCAACACTTAAGCCATTTTCTTTTTAATTTTTTTCAAACAATCCTGATTTATAATTTTGGTGTCTGAACTCATGAAAGGTACAAATGAAAGTCTAAAATCGTTTCCAGTCTAAAAGTTTGAAAATATTATTAACTACTCACCAGTAGTTGGAACTAATAAGATAACATGCGCGTAACAGTTAATTCGACCAGCCCTCTGAGACAAATAACACACCTACAACCGAACACAGTCACAGTCCCAATGACTGACAGAAAGCGAAACCAAATGTACACTTTGGCCCCAATTGTACGTTGGTCAGTAGAACAGTCTTTAAATGCACATTAAACTGGCAGACGATTTGCCACATATGTTGGTGCATGAAATCATGAAGAAACGGCTATATTTATTTTCAGGGTGTTATTAAAAATCAACCCACTTGGTTCATCCTAAGTCGCTCAATGTAGTGAACTATCAGTGATGCCCTACCGTCCGTAAATACTTAAATTTTACCAGCGCGAATTTACTAAAAAAAACTTGGTCATAGTATACAGAAAGTCAAGGTCACTTTTGATGGGTCTGACGGACTTTTCCGTTTTAATTTGTAACTATTACCTAAAATGAAACTTGAACGAGGATAAAAACGCAAAATTTGTCACTTTGAATAGGCAAATGTTTGGAAAAGTACGATAGTAAATTGGAAACTTGGGGTATCGTTGTTTATCCCTACAGAATATTTGTGCTCATGTGGGGATGAATTTCTAAATCATCACCAAGTTAGATGCATCGTTTTCTGCATTCATGAAGAGGTGGTTTGCTGTTACAACGAATTCTGACTTTTATGATTTCTGTATGGTTATACTGTAACGTTTTGGTGACATCAAGAGAAGGATATTTCTACTAATGTTTCTGAAGTCATTGCTGTATCAACCGTATTATAAGTACGCCTCACCAATTTATATTTCAGATGGTCATTGAAAAATTGTTTTGCGTTCATCATAAAACGAAATTGAAATCTCCTACATTTTGTAGGTTTGGAACAAAAAGCAGTGAAGGTAAAGGTGACTTACTAATAAAGCACTGACAAATCACACCATTTCGTCTACACGAACCATCAACAATGAAAATAGCCAACCGGAAAATCTGATTGTTTGTTAAGTTAGATCTGATCGTGGAACATTCTCGCGATGTTAATGTCCAGTGAAAATGGTCGGCCTCAGTCCTGATTGGGTTATCGTTTGGCTTAATGAATGAAAGTTTGAAAAAACGTTTACACTATACAGTATAGGACGATTTTACCGAATAAATTCCAATGACAAATTTCACCCATAGGCCATAGACAACATTATCTATCCTTAATGGTCAGTTAAAACGCGTTTGCTAGGAGACTGCTTCCAAGGATGTGTTAAAAAATCCCTTCCGTTACCAAGCTCTTTATCTGCTCCGCTTGCTGTAAAGTAGAAACAGAGGTAAGGATACTTCGTCCGATGTGTAACAACTTTCTTTTTAAGTTTGTATTTTATTAACGTCACTTGTGCGAAATCAACCCATCGGCCAAAATTTGCACAGACGGAGCCAGTACTGCGCTGCATTTAACAATGCATTTCATTGGTCGAAAAGCACCGTGCTTTGCTTGTCCCTGATTGGTTGATCTGTCAATAAGCAGTGGAAGGAAATCAAAAAAGGGTGATTTATTAACGTTGCACACAGTCATTAAACTACATCGATATATGTCAAAACGTTTAAGACCTTACACTTATCCCAAAATGCCAACTCACGCGCTCATGATAAGTCGTCATCACAACAAAGTTATTTTTGTACTTCATTTACTCTTCATCGTCTGCTACACAGCCACCGAAGATTCACATAAAGACCTGGTACATCCAAATGAAACTCACTTCAAAGGAGTGCCGTTCTTCATTCAGCATCCAAAACCGCTCTACTATACAATGAAAGATCATCCGGCCACTATTGAATGTATCGCTGAACCGGTCTCGCATGCAGTCATCGAGTGTGCTGAACAAGCTATACCATACAAAGGACCGGATGAATCTGGTCGATTAAAGGTCACGCGACTGGACTCTCACAACCGACCCGACCCGAATGGCAATAGATGGCGTCTAGAGTTGCAAATACGTGCCAAGGAGGTGGAGGAGTGGTTTGATTCCTACGTGTGCCGATGCGAAGCATGGAACAAGATAGTTGAGTTGCAACGACCCAAGAAGGTGATCAGCAGAGCCGCGGTAGTAGTAGAAGCATGTAAGTAAATATTTCCCTTTTTTGGTTACTGGTAGTACTAAGTTTCCATGGGTTATCAGTGGTAGCCTGTGGTTTAGTAGATTTAACGGTAAGTAACTTACGTTCTATATGTTCCACTTCTTGGCTACTACTCATGACAGTCATTAAATTGTAGCAAACCACTCGGAAACAAAGCCTTGCTTTTTTTGTTCTAGCTCAGTACAGCACATTCGATCACTGAGAATTGTCCCGTAGCCTACAAAAATGATCTTTTATCAGTTCCATAATAGAAGAGTATCAGTCGCTGATTTCCCCATTTACCCCTAATGACGGTATTATCAGGAAAGTTAACCTTACTGTCAAATAAGATTGTCTCGGGCAGTTGTAAATCAACCGAACCCTATAATTTACACAAAGGATTACGAAAGTGGGAACTCATTGATGCATGAAGATACAAAATTGAACGCAGGCGGTCTTACGTCACAGGTCTAAACTATCCCGGGTTGTGAGTTTATCTAAACTAATTGGTTTGATAAGCCATTTGTGACTGACGCAATCTATGCAACATTTGGCAGCTGTTCATTTTGAACTGTGTATCTAACATTTTGTCGGCAGTCACCGCAAGAGAGATTTTGGCCAACTTGTTATGACTTTGTTAAACCGAACATTAGTCCAAAGACAAAGTCGTTGATATATTAAAATGTAATTCAGAATGTTTCAAATATTCTCAATTAACTATAATATGATCCGGTGATTTACAGCAGTCAGGTGAACCTGACAGTCTGCGCACCATTTTCTTTACTGTCTTCTTGAAAAATACGAATTTGTAATTGAAAATCCCGAGTAGGTTACCGCGGTTAATCTGATAATTTATTCAAAGATGGACGCGTGATGATTTTCAGGTTAATTCATAGGTTTCAGCAACGAAGTGACTTGCAATTATAGAACGTCAGCGGCTGACATTTAAATAGAAATTTTCACTTGTTTTATTTATGTTTCTTGTTGGCCAACTTTCGAGTGTTACATAATGAGTATTTCTCTCCTTAAAATGACCATGTTGCCTCAGTGCCAGTTTAACGGAATGGACTACCACACTCCGATATAAAAATATTTAACCTGCATTCGGCAGATGGAAACAATACTGGTACCCTTAACATACCTTAATACAATTTTTGTCTACGGATTTTCCGGTGTAGACGCCTCATAGAGAAGGATGAACATTTTTCCATTGTCACTGAGATAAGTCTTGTACACTCGGTTGATTCCCTTCACAATCTGCGTGGTAGTCTTTCAAGTAGTAATGACATTAAAGAACACAAATGAGTGACATTCCGTAACACACTTGGGGTTGCACTGAGCATATGGGAGCGATCTAAAGTTTCAACTATACCTTAACTCATGACGATATTTGGTTCATTGCTACATCTCACAACAAACCCTTCAAAATATTGTGAGCTAGGCCGTTTGCTAAACGTCCCGAAATCTGAATCAGTTGTATCGAAGTTATTAGTATCGCTTCTAGGAGAACAATGAAAAATACGGATAAACTGCTGTCACTGTAACAAGCCCATCTGCCATAGACATCTTCGAGGTTTTGTACAGTTTATGTTACATTGTGTTAAATAACAGCAGATTTTAGTGATCGCACACTTCACGTTGAATGAGGAAAACGAAAGAGTCACGTTCAGGAAACTAAAAAGGAGATAGGCCGTAAGCAATTGAAAACTCCTTCACAGACGTGTTTCTACGTCCAAAATAATAAGAGTGGCTTCGTAGCTCAACTGGTAGAGTGTTCAGGCATGGTGTTTCTGTTGCTAGTTCAAATCTAGCCGAAGCCCTGACTTTTCACAATCGGGTATAGTCTAAAATAATAAGAGTACTTAAACACAACCCTTCTTAAGACTACTTTAAATGTCCCAATACTGAATAACGTTTGTACAAGACCGTAGTACCAAGTGATTAAAAAATTTAACTGAGGCATAGATTATACATAAGCCATTCGAAAACTTGAATCCTAAAATGTGTGGCCACGTGTCTGCTGTGTATGACGAGTGTATAGGTGTAGTCACATGTAGCAAGATGATGGTGCCAAAAATGATATAAATCTCTTATATCGCATTACTTTAAGATTACGCCGTTCGATTTTTATCCAAGACCGTCAGTTCATTAAAACGGTAATTAGCCGTGAACCCGTATATCGAAATTGGTCTCAGTCTCTCTTGGGGTTGCATAGATGTGAGTATTATCAATATACAATTGTCTCACCTAGATTAATATTTTGCTCTCGTTTGATATCAGTGCACTCCAATAAAGAGTCCTCTAAATTAAGCTTCCGATTACTTATAAACTCCGCTCAAATGTACGGTGATGAAAAGGAAGCAACCTTTCGAATTTCGAAAGAGATAACAATAAAAATTGTCCAAATTCCCTTTGTTAGAGCCCTTGTTTGAAACACTGGCCTGGCTTTTGAATCAATACTGCCTCTGTTTTGTGCGAGTCTGGTTATAGCCTACCAACATAATCCAAATGAACTCCACGATATACACTTGACTTTTTTACCTAAGGCGGCACTAATTAAGATATGAAGCAAAGCAGTTTTTCTTGCTAAGTATCACGAACATTTGTCGCATACGCAAACACTTCTGCATAAATTACAGAACTTCCATCTATCCAATTTGGTGTAAGCAGTTTATTCTGGACACAGTATGAAGTCCGACAACACCCGTTCGATTTTCGTCCTAAAGCGTCATGCAGAGTGAGAATGGTAGTTATCGATCTTCAACCCATCAGTTACACCAAATCATAAATAATTTTGTACCCTATATGTTCAAAGTAAGCAATCTATGCAGGCTGCTATCTTCCGACTTGCAATACGTGTTCTTATAATAAATCGTAGTTACTTCTGAAATTAGTGTGAGTAAAACACTTCCAATAAGTGTCTGACAGCACATACATATGGGGACTAAATCATACGATCACTTAATAGTTCACGGTTAACTTTGCTACCATAAATTTGGGACTTCTCACATTTTTATAGCTCATTTAGTTTGCTAAAGATTGCTGCTTGATGTTCTCTTTATTCTTAATGAATTAGGGAAGAAAGTCCCCAAAGTGACCAGGGTACCACTTTCACACGTAGTCTACAAAGGAAGATAGAGACATATCTCTACTTCTGAATCTCAGTCTATGGTTTTGGCGTATTTTCTACATGTGAATCAAGGGGGTTTGAGGTTTTATTCCGCCATGTAACCTTAGATCACAATATTTTGTGTAGGTGCCAAGCAAATATACCCTGACGTTTTTCTCTCAGGTATACATCAAAACAGTGGGCTAACCAGCTTAGTGTATTTAGTTTGAGAAACAGCAATCATATTCGTATGACATGGATGTACACGGCTAGATTATTAGGTTCTTGTGTGCATACGGTAAGTAGTTTAAAAATTCACCCAATATGTTAACCCAAAAATTGGCAATCCACCCATCCTTCAGAATAACCAACTCACCCTCCAATCGAAATATACTCAAAGTCGCCGTTTGTTGTGTATGTAACGGCTACACCAGTACAAATTCCTCTACATTTGTTTGTTTCCCATTATTAAAATTTGGCATTCCACTATAACGCCTTTAAACCGTTGATCTCCAAAAACCTTAAACCACAATCCATGTGTCCATTAGTGACGAAAATAAACATTATCGTGTTTTCGGTACTTCAAACAAGAAAAGATTTGTAGTACCTCAGCTTAGGTATCATTTGCAGACAGGAATAATTCCCTGTTGTATTCGACGCCAAACTGACAGCCAGGTTTTTGTCACCTTTACGTTGAACTGGTGATTGTTATCTCTTTCTCTT